AGCCCAAACGAGATCCCTTGAGGACAGGTTCCAATAGCAATAACATTGATCAATGATTTAACCTAGATTCTTGCACTTCTTTCTAGGATTAATGAGGTACCCTCTGACAACATTACTTTTACAAATATTAGACTTGGTTCCTCATGCCTGTCTTCTCCTTCTGCATCCAGATTCATTCTTCTTGTTCCTTATCTGCCACCTACAGGCATATTTAAATCATATACTCAGACCTAGGTCCTAGTGACAACTGTGCAGCCTCATCCTTTTTCCAATAGCTGCAGAATCAGCCTCTGATGCATCCCCTCCCTCTGGTTCACACTAGGGCTGAAACAATTAATCAGATTAATCGTGATTAATTGATTATTGAAATAATAATCATATATTTATCCATCAATTGTTAACAGGAGTAATATAGTATAGTAGTTATACCAAGATTGTAAAAAATATAAATAAACGTTTTTCATTTAAGATATATATATATATATATATATATATATTAGGTTCACCTGGTTTCATTTTGTAAGAACTCTTTTTAAAGAATATTTGGCTTAACAGTTATTAAATAAATAATGAATAGATTGATTGATTTGCAGGATAATCACTAGTTGGTGATGTAATGGAAAGGTTGGAACTCTGGTGCATATGTTATATGAGCGTGACAAAACTAAAGACATGTACAATGTAATAATTGTGTTTGTGAATAAGGTGTTGGGTACACATTTGGTCAAAAACCTGCATGATGTTTGTTAGGATTAATTCCAGATAATTTTAAAATGTCAAAACATCTGGAATCTTGGAGCTGTTTAGCTATGACAACACGGTGCAGGATATCTTTACGCCACTGGAAATCTCCTACTCACTAAGGAGTGGATACAGCTTCTAAGCTCAATGGCCAACTACGAACGGGTCACCTATAGGGCGGCTGGGAGGGAAGACATATTCAATGAGGTGTGGGGCCCATTCCTAGCTCAATTGCTGGACATGTAAGGATGTCTCCTTCTATTTATATTTTATTAGATACAGGAACAGGATTGCTATAATAGACTTTATAGGGTGTTTTAGTGTTGTCTTGTTTTGCGATTTATGTTATATGTTTTAGGTCTGGCTTGTTATTTACATTGTTGCTGTACTGCTTTTTCTTTTTTTATTGCTATTATTATTATTATTATCGCCTTGTTTTATGGTTATTTGTGTAGGGAATACAAAAAAAGAAATAGTTGGACAGTTGATAAGTGCACACAGGATGTTTTTCTGATTCATGTTACTGTAACAAGATAATGGGTGCTCTTTTGACAAAAAAAAAAGAAGAGGATTACCCCTGGGAAGAGTTCAAGCTTTGGTTATCAGGTCACCAGAGGTGCAGCTCACTGAGCAATAGCTGCTCATGATGGATATTTTAACCCAGATATCCAAGGTCTGATACCTCTAAGGATATGGAAAATAGGGCAGACGTTGCTACCAGAAAAGCAGTCAATGGATGAGGTATCTTTGCAAAGTACTGTGGGCTCAGAATAGAAGAGCAGGTTTTCAATTCTTCATAAAGTGAAGAAAACTATGGACAACAGTGAGCATCCTCTTCTGAAGATTTTTGAAACAACACAGTATCTATACAGGTTCAGATGTTTCTCCAGATCGGGTGCAAGAGAGACTAATATATAAGATCCTTCCTTCCCCAACTATCAAATTCTACAGCACATCTACTATGAGTAACTGCAATTTCATTTCCCTTTGGGATTAATAAAGTATTTTCAGACTAAATTAAACGGAATTAAATTCAAGGGGAAGAATGGACCCAGGTACTGTGTTTCCCAAAGTTAAGGCTATCTAGCTATGTGCAGAACTTGCCAGATAGATGTTTACAAGAAATTAAGTGATAAACCTTTGTTCTGTTCTTTGTTTCATTCTTTTATTTATCTCCCCCATACAAAACACCAGAGGTGTCAGAAGTATTATTGTTTATTACTCAAGTAAAAGTACTGTACTATAGTTTAAAAACACTTTTGTAGAAGTTAGAATTTTACTCTAAGTACTATTTTTAAAACTACTTAAAGTATAAAAGTAGAAGTAATGCAGGAAAAATGTTAAGGAGAGATGCTTTACTATACTACTCCATTAAAGGAATATTTAAAAAAAAAAGAATCTGGATTTTAGTTTTAGAACTAATGGTAACAGTTTCAAAATGACCTTTGCATCATCTTGAAAAACTATCTATTTTGGTATGCGGGGAGCAACAAGTTGGTGCAACCACAAAGAAATAAATTGTTTGGATGAAAAAAAAATTATTTTGATGGGTTTTTATTTTTTTAAATACCATCTGGACATAACGGGAAAAAAATGTGCTTATAAAGAAGTAAAACTTTGTCTAAAAAAAAATAATTACTCCAGTAAAGTATAGACGGCCTTAACTTCTGCTTAAGTGAGGATGAAGTATCAGTACTCTGTTACATGAAACCTCAGCAAAACATTGCCACCTCTGGTATATTTGGCCTAGAACCTGCAATAAAGGATGAATGTGTAAAAGTGAACCTCATGGCAGCTGTTAGGTACGGTGGGGGATGTATGAAGCTGGGGGCTTGATTCTTGGCATCACAAACACTCAAATCATCATTATTTATTTACAATTTTATAAGGATAAGAATAGAAACCTTCACAAATCAATGCCAGAACAGATTGAGACACAAGCTTGTTCTTCACCTATGAGCAACTTAATACCAAGATCCAGGAAATATCATAGACAATTTGTGGAAGAAAAGAAGAAGAAAAAGCACACAATGTTAGGACTGTTCCAGCGACTGTGTAAAAAAAAAAAAGAAAACTTAATTAGTAAAATGTTTTCCCTGTGATAAACAAAGATCGTCACTAAGGGCATATTTTCCTTTAAACCCTCAGTTTGAGGTTATGGTACAGCATTGTAAAATGAGTTGATTTCTTAGCTGTTTATACCAGAACGTGTTGAGGGCAGTAAAAATGAAGTCATCCGTTTCTTTGAAAGGAACAATATGTAATTTTGTGACCATATAGTTGATGGTTAAGGAGCTTAATCCCATTTGTTGACTTTAAACACATTTGGAGATAGTAACATTTAAGCTGACTCATGAACCTGCCAGGGGGCAGTGCTAAAAAAAAAGGACAAAAAAGCAGAGCTGCGTCAGTGTTGGTGCAATACGTCATCCACACGCCGTTGTCCCCTAAATCCTTTATTCATCCTTCAGAGGATCTTTAAGACGCTTAGTGTCTGTATTTCTAAATTTCTGCTTCTTGCAAGAAAAAAAAAAGTTAAGAAATATTGATCTGAATGAATCATGGCTTATATGAGATATTTTCATCCTTTCCCATTCAAACTTTTGCTCCCTTAACAAAAGTGTCCGACTGTATCATGATCCAAAGGGCTGTGACAGCCCAGGTGTATGTGGGATCTCTTTGTAACACTTTTCCAAACGAAAGATAGAGGGGAGCTGTGGCTTTATGTCAGTTTTCATTGACAGACCCATTTTAGTGTATTCATTCTTGCAAATGTATTGTTTTTCGGATAATTTCCGGAAAAGTAAACACCAATTCAAACATGTCAAGCCAGCTAATACATGGCTAAATGATCTGAAAGGATAGCAAAGTAAATTCAAACCTTTTGGCATTGGGTTTCTCCCATTCTACCAATGTGATTGGTGACAAAAGTGACTAAATTAACAGATGAATGGGTGCATTTTAAGTTGAAAACATAGCTATAAGGAGGTAAAAAAAAAAAAAGGTGAATGTATTAAAAGTTCATGTAAACCCATACTATCCGATCACATGTCAAACATATCCCTATTTACATATTAGGAGAAAATAAATGCTTCATTAGGTTTTATCTTTTATCTTTCTGTCACAACTGCTGAACAAACATATCAGACCGTGTTCACTAATTATAACCCAAGGATCAGAAAAGCTGGTTTTGCCTTCCCATCATCTCAGTAAAGGAGCTTGTGATCATTTTTCAGTTTCTTTCAGAATAGTTTAGGGAAAATTACTAGAATCATTTATAAATAAGGCAAAAAGTGACGTACATGTTTACATATTACATTACAATCCCTTATTGGGTTTTAATTAATTTATCTGTTAACTGTTGCAATGATAAAAAAAAAAAAAAAGCCAAAATGCATTATTACTACCATATCTTACTATAAGCACATCTTAACTGCTAAGTATTGTTGCCCTTTCCTTTTTTTATTGTTAAAGCAACTTCTTTACTCTGGTGAGATATGTTAATAAGTGAAGGGTGTACTTTAGTAGACAGCCAGTAGAGGGCACTGTTTATAGACTCAATTGAATCATCTTGATTTTTTTTATTTATTTTTTTGATAGAATGGTTGTCATTTTTTACCAAATTTTCTGTAATACCTTCTTGTGGTTAAAAAAAATATATATATTAACACCAATAAACAGTGTAGACAGCTAATTGGCATGAAAGCTTAAGATTATTATCTTAACTGCAAAAGTCCATATGCAATACGGAGTTGCAAAGAAATGCTCACACCATCATTACCTCTAGCTTTAATGTCATTAATTTGATTTTTATGTGAGAGACAAACAAAAAGTGGTGTGCGACTGTGAAGACGTCCAGCAAACGCGAGGAGATAATGCTCAGGTCAGACGACAATGGTACTGAGCGTTGAAAACAAGGAAACACTGCTTAGGACCCTGAGCTACAACAGAAAGGTTCAGAGCAAATCCAACTCATGTACTAAAAGGCGTCAAAGTCCAGATCTAAAACAAATCACAAAACTCAAATGAAAAGCCAAAGAAATAATTTTATCAGACTAATTTTTAGCTGTGTTGCAATTAACGAATGTGTTTTTTTTTTTTTACCTCTGTAATACAAAATCTAAAACAATTAAGGTATAGGAATATAAGTACATGGGCAACGTCTGAATCTGGACACTGTGCAACACAGTTAAAAATTCCTGATGAAATCTTTTCAGGTAGACATTGAAATGAGTCCAACACACATACTGAATATTTAGTTTTCTTTATTTGAAAGAGTTTCAGTCAGATTTACAGTTTCTTAGTCAGCATACAAGTTAAAATAGATTCTGAAACTGCTTTCTAAGTGCAAACGAGTACATTTCTCTAATGAAACATCCTACAGACTACAAAGAAAAACATACCTTTCCTGGTAAGCAAAGGGAATGTGGTAGCTGGATGTAAAACTCGTCGATGGAATGTCTGAAGTGTGCCCGGATGAATGTTCACTTACAATCTAAAGAAATACGGGTTTCCATGCAAACTGTTTGGTTTACAAGGCTACTGTGCAAAACGTCTTGCATTTTAAGACTATCAGCGTTTTCTTAATAGGAATTTGAAATGACTGTACGCTGATGGCAGCTAGATGCTCGCAATGAGGTTGATCCGTTTTCAGGCACTGCAAAGGCTAATTTATACGTTCCCCAAATCAGGTAACACTTTACTAGAACACTTGCTGTAAATTCAAACCTATTACCTGCTCAAATAAAATCATTTGGCACCAATGAGATGTACAACATAATGTGTATATAAAAAAAATAAAAAGTCCAATCTATTCTATTTTTAGCAGGTGATCTAACTTAAATTACAGTGCTACCTAAAAGCTTTATTTTCTGGACTGAGGCTTTATATTTATTGCATTGACACACAGTCCAGACCCCCTTTTTAGAATATTAAACCCACCATGCATGTAACTGCATGAATAAATACCCCCGAACCCCTAAGAAGCCTATAAAGCAAAAAATATTGTAAAGTCATTCCAAATAAAGTGGTCTGTAACTGGAACAGAAAGGGTTAAAATGAAAGCTAGCTGCTAATATAATAAAACAGACTAAGAATCAAAAAAAAAAAAAAAAGCTTTTAATTTTGTTTCTCACCAAAATGGTGAAGGAACAGCTGAGTTACAGTACATAAAAAGATGTAAAATAAGTTAAAGTATAAAAACAGAAAGGAGCCTTCTTCCATGGAAGTGGCTGCAATGTTTGCCTCCTAGTTTCTCATCCTCTCCTTTGGGATAAAAATAGTGGAAGATTTTTCCAATAAGCAGCAGCAGCAGCAGCAGCAGCAGCAGCAGCAGCAAAGCATGTGGAGATGACTGATTCATTCATCTCCTCTGACCACAAGCGGAGCAGAAGGGCGGGATGAAGCGTTAGAAAGAAAACATCGGCGGTCAGCTCAGGGCACGCTGCTGGATCCCAGCAAGTCCTTCTCGGCGGTCATGGACTTGAGCAGCTCCTCCACCCAGCGGACCTCAGAGGCCACCTGCTCAGCCAGCGCGTCGTAGCGGTTCTCCAGCCGCCCAAACTTGCGCTTGAGGCTGTTGGCAGACTGCATGGTGAGCCGGGCGTCCTCCTGGCACTTCTTGCGTTGGCTCTGTGTGCGCTGCAGCTCCTGGCGGATGTGGCTCAGGTCGGCAGAAATGCTTTGGTTCTCCTCCTTGTACCAGCCCTCCTTCTCCTCGTAGATGGACAGCAGCGCTGCCACATCCTCCTGGCAGGACCGCTGGTTGCGCTCCAGCTCCTTCAGCCCCTCCTCGGCTGCAGCAATCTCCTCGAGCACCTGGGAGAACCGCTCAAAGTTCACGTAGGTGTTGTTCGGCGGCATGCTGGAGTGGGACTTGATGGTGTACTCCTTCAGCCGAGTGGTCTTCAGGCGCCGGCGCTCCACTTTGTGATCCCTGTCCTCCTGGCGCACATTTCGTCTTTTGATGACCTGGAGAAGAAATGAGAAAAAATTTAAATCTAACTGTTCGACTAGATCTTATTATCAACAGCACTTTAAGTACAGAACCTAAATCACAACAAAGAAAAAGTCAAACAAAAGACAGGACAAAAATTATGGGATGCTGTATGAAGAAACAGTCAGTTTTCTTAATCTATGTGATATAGCCAGGAAAACATTCGCCTGTGAGTATTTTCCATGTCCAGTTGCTTGTTACTGAGCTTCTCTTCAGGTATAATATGGTTATTAACAGAAAAGGTGTGATTTTTTCTTTTTTCTTTGGAAAATGCTAACAGTTAGCATTAATATGGGTTTTTCTGTTGACGTTAGCATTAAGCTAACAGTACATTTTTCATCTATTTAATGTACAGCGATCCATGATATATTCTTGAAACAAATGTAACTAAGACATCTTTGTACTATTTGTTTTGCAAGTAAAGCTTGAAAAGAACTCCAGAAGTGTGGCTTTTCTTAAAGAAACTGTTAGCTATCTGTCGAGCAGGGCATCATAGGCAAGCAGGGACAGAATAACTATTCTCAACTATCAACTTTTAAATCTTCTTTGAATTCTTGGGGGGGGGGAACCAAAAAAAAAAACTAAACAAAAAAAACACAGGACGGAACAAGGAAATCGCAGTAATCAAAATTCCAACCTTAATCCATGGATGCTCCAGACTGTCATCAATCGTCATTCTCTTCCTGCAAAAATAAGAATCCATCATCAAGTTTATAAAATATAAACAAGAGCCTGAATTTATCTGGATCCACCCGCGGTTTTACTTTGGATCTTTGACCAACAGTCGGCGTATAAAGTCCTTGGCCAGCTCGCTGGTGCTGCTAAAATACTCCTCGTCAAAATCGTAATTGACAGCAGATATGTTGGTCAGGGTCTCCTGCTTGGTCTCGCCGAGGAACGGTGATGCGCCGCTCAGCCTAACACACACACACAAAAAAAAAAACCTTTCACTGTCAGCTCTCATAGGAACTATGAAAGAATTTAACTGGGATCTGAAGCATTACTCACAGAATGTATGTGATCACCCCGATGCTCCTGAAAACAACAGAAGGTAAATAAAGATAAATGAAAACTCGAACAGAGACTTGTAAGCAGCTCTAGATGGGGACAGAAGAAGAAACTTAGTCTTCTCACCACATGTCTGCCTCCAGGCCCAGAGGTTCATAGTTAACTATTTCCGGCGCTGGAGAAAGCATGAAAGAATGCAAACTTTAATTCAAAGCAGATGTGATCTGCAGCCACAGATTTTTTTTTTTTCTTTTACAACTTTTAAGTTGGAGGCCCGCAGAGTTCGGCAATGAGACCTTACCGACAAACTCTGGAGTCCCAAAGATGTTCTTGAACTCGTTTCCAGCTTTGATCTGGTGAGCGATCCCGAAATCTATGAGCTTGATCCTGGGATTGGGAACGTTCTTATCCAGCAGCATGATATTCTCAGGCTGAAAGAAACAAAAATGAAAGGATTTTCACCTTCAAGGTCAGTGAGAATCAAAGCAAAGTAGAGATTCCTCATAGAGGAGCAGTAACAGTCAAAATCCAAACAAGAATATTCATGAATATTAATGAGGTTGTAATTAATTGTGACCTTGAGGTCGAAATGAGCTATGCGTTTGGAGTGGAGGTAGTGGACGCCATCCAGGATCTGCTTGAGGAACTGCGTGGCCTCCTCCTCGGTCAGAGACTCCTTCTCGGCCAGGAAGTCAAACAGCTCCCCGCCTGACACCAGCTCCAGGATCAGGATCACGTCCGTCTTGTTCTCAAAGATGTCATGCAGCGTGATGATGTTGCTGTGCTGGATCTCCCGCAGGATGTTGACCTCGCGCTCGATCTCCTCGCGGCTTACCCCGCGTCGGCTGGACGACAGCCGGCGCTTCTTGATGAATTTCGCTGCATATTCAATACCCGTGCTCTTCTCTTTGCACTTTCGGACGATGGCGAACTGTCCGCTGCAGTGAGGGAGGAGCAGAGTCGAGATATAACTGATAGTATTGATCATTCCTTTAAGGAAAACAGTTAATCTCGCATGTGAGAAATCTTTTTGACATGCATCATATATTCTTGAAATGTATCCAGCTTTAAGAAAACTAAAGTATTGGTCACAAGTTAACTGTCCGTCATTGTTGACATGAATGTTATGTCATTAAGGCTTTAGGAGTATTCTGTTAAGGTGATGTCAGAGGGTTGGAGAGGCCATTCAATAAAATTAAGACAACAAATTGTTTCCGTCATCTGACCAAACCCACTCTAAGATGAAAGATGTTTAAGACCAAACATGTTTGGGCTAGAGTGAGTTAACTTGGACGTAGTTGTTTGCTCTAGCTGGGTGATTATACCTATTGTACAAAGAAAAACAAAACCCAGATGCACATAGATAGAACAGCCTTATGTCAACACTCCATCAGGCACCCCCAAACTCGGTCCTCGAGGGCCGCTGTCCTGCAGGTTTTAGAGGTTTCCTTGCTCCAGAACAGCTGATTTTAATTGAAAGCTAATTAACAGGCTTTTGCTCTACTGCAATCATTATAATCAGCTGTTTTAAAGCAGGGAAACCGCTAAAACCTGTAGGACAGCGGCCCTCGAGGACCGAGTTTGGGGATGCCTGCTCTAGATCCTCTCTAGATCCTACTCTAGGTTCTGTCTCAGAAACCCAACCAATTTAAATCAACTTCAGCAACTCTGCCAACAAGGGTTCAAATATGCTGGGATATCTATCTGTAACAAATAATAAGACTTCTCAGCAATTTGCTGAGAAGTCTAAATACTGATTATTTATTTAGGATACATAATGGTGGGGAAATAACATCTATTCTGTATATAAAATAAGAAAAACTTTAGTTTTACTTAAAAAAAAAAAATGTACTTAAAACAACCACATGGAGTAAAATGGTATTTTTAAAGAGAAAATGAAAAAAATAAAACAGTAAAAAACGAAAGTCTAAATATGACAGAAGCAGCTAAGAAAGTATCATTTCTTAGTTTCCATTCTTTTAAAATAAGCTTGCTTGTTCCAGGTAACACAAACACTCTGGCAGCGTCCTAATGTTTAGAGGCTCTCTGCCACAGCAAAGGAGCAAGGGGACACTGAGAGGCACTGACGTCACGCTTTCTGCTGCATTACTGCAGAAAGAAATTAGCCAAGGCAAGAAGCTAGGTCGATCTTTTCAAAAAAAAAAAAAGAAGAAGAAGAAAGGGTGACTCTTTTTTTTAAAAGTGCCCAATACAGCATAAAAGTGCAGTAGGAGATTGTTTATGTTGATGGTGCAATTTTGTTATGAGCTTTTTTTTTGTTTTGGCAGCCTTAAAGTCATACCTGATAGATCAATAAACTGTGTGGTTCAGCTACACTCATTATCCCAGGAAATAGATGAGTGCAGCCAAAATGATTCTGGGTGATTTATTTATTTTTTTTAAATCTGTACTATAGAGCTATTCTTATGAAAAACCCAACACCTGAAAATATGCAACTGGGATGTAGGATGGGTTCGTACCTGCCCAGCTCCTCTCCCATCTCATAGTACAGCTCCACATCCTCTTGCCGGAAGCCAGCCATGGCGCTGACTCAAATAAAAGCCCTGCAGACGTCCTGCAACATAAAAATAAAGGGAAAGGAATGAAACAGGCGTGTCTCAAGGAATCAGTTTGTCATCCAAAAGCTTAATAAGATTTTAAAAGTTAAAGATTTGGAACACAAAGGTCAGTTATTTGAAAGCATGCATTTCTGTTCATTTTGTTAATAAACTCCTACAGAAAAAATTCCTGAAAACTGGAATAACACTAAACTCCAAGAGTTTTTTTATTTTTCCAGAATTTGAACTAAGTTGAAGCTAAAACTTTGAGACTTGGGGATTTCTGGATATACCTTATTCACAGACAAAGCATTGTCTGTCTTGTATATTTATTACCGGTGGTACATTTTGACTTTAAATGGCTCTTTATAGTTCCAAATTAAATGATTATTTTCTGAATTGATTAAAAAAATTAGCCCTGATTATATTATGCCCCAAATACTTAGAGGAGATACTGCTGATTTGACAGCTTCCTAGCAAACAGTCCTTCGCATCCTGCACTACAAGGTCACTGCTAATAACCTTATTCAGCTCACAGTGAGCTGAATATTCATATAGTGCTTTTATCAAGTAATGGAAAAGTTGAGTGAATGGAAGAAATCAATGAAGTTCCACAGCAATATGATCCACTGAATGCCAACAGACTTTTTGTTTGGCAATGCTCGGAAGCTTTTTGATGAAGTCTACTTTACTAGGCTGACATCTGCTTACAGAGCTAATAAAAACATGGTTTAATACCCCTGGTATCGCTGTGCTTGTTAGTTTTTAATCCATCAGAAGCCAGAGTCATCAAAATGCACAGAAAACAAAAGCAGAGGATAATGGGTTCCATATTCTTACTTTCTGAACCAAAACTGAGACGGGTGAGCTTTTCGTCTGGAATGCAGTAAAGCAAAAACAATCCCCTATATTTGATAACAGCTGAACATATAAAACAGATTGGTGCCAGAAGGACCTTCAGCGGCTCTCTAACCCTGCCTGTTCTCCTCCTTATTTGGTTCTAGTGAAAACAGCTTTGGTTTTTCAGACACTTTGAGGCTGATGTCAGACGTTCGCATACCAGGCTGACTTAGATCATCTCCTGCTTCAGCCAACTCTGACTCAATTAAAGGCCACGAAACAGTCACACACACGAGTTACCTTCCTTTTCTTATCTGCACGCAATATAAGTAGTAAAATACACCAATCACGCACTCAGTATCTCTTCATTTTTTATTTTTTTTAGTTGTTTTTACGGATATGGAATCTACTTTTTCTCCAAATAAATAAACAATATAAAAACAGCAAAAGAACGTAAATATATTACAACAGATACGAAACAAAATACATAGCACTAGTTTAATAATGTTTGAAAGAGTTTATAGGCATCAAGAAACGGAAAGAAAACGAAGCCTGACAACGGGGACCAGCTAGCTAAAGCTCGGCATACGTCCCTGCGTTAAACACCGGCCGTTTTATGTGTTTAAAGCTTACAGAAAACAACCGAAGCACCAGGCACGACAATAGCTGACATGTTTAACAATTTCAACAGAGAAAATCATGTAAAAATGTATACTAACCGTGCTGTTTGCGACAGCTGCTGCGTTCCTCATTCAAGTAGCTGACTGAATCTCCAGGCTTAGCTTCCAACAGGCTAACGGACACACACACAACTTCCGGTGGCTCATTTCAAAATAAAAGTCCGCGGTCTTATGAACATATATTTTATTTTAAATGCAATTTACCCCTCAAAATAACAAATAAGAATTAGTTTTAATGTTGATGATAATAAATGCTCATTCTGTGAAAGTGATGTAGAAACGATGAGTCTTCTATGAATGCAATCAAACTAAAACATTTTGGAATTGCTTAGAAAGGTGGATCAAATCAAAAATTGCACTTCCTGAATCTTTCTCTAGAGATATGGTAACTTTTGGAATACTATTGAAAAACAAAACAATAGAACTCTGTTGTAACCTCATTTTTTTGTTTAACAAAATTCATAAACAAAAAGTGTTGAGATCATCCCCATTCTTTAATACTTTTTATCTGAATTCGAGTTATATTTGAAATCTCTTAAATGTGACTTAAACATTAATAGGATTGCACACCAATCCTAACATATGAATCCCCTTGTTACTATGTTAATTATTGTTTCATTATTAGCATTCACTTATTCTTTTTTTTCTCCCTTTTGAAATCTGCCTCTACTATGCCTTCTAAAGCCTTATTTGTACTTACTTTGTTTAAATAAAGTTTATATAATCCAAAAAAAAAAAAATATATATATATATATATATATATATATATATATATA